GCGAAAGCTCTATTTAGTACAAGACAATGATATGACCTGTGCCTATCATCCAACATAAGTAAACATGACTCTAATTTCATTTTTAGAGTAGAACTCTTATAGTCAATTAGAATCACAGAAACTAGTCGTACAGGCCGTATTTTCCAGAAACTGTTATAGATATCACCCACCTTATTTCTTTACAATAAAGCTTTTGGCCCTGAGTTCAAAAGAGGTGAATGATATGGAGCTTCACTGGAAGTGTACAGACAGTTTACGCAACACTATATAATATGACAGTCGATCGATATCACATGTCTTAGGATCAGGTCACGTACGAGAATTTTGAAGTGAGGGCCAATAATGCAACGTGACTATTTTTATCTTAGGCCTCTACATTGTTAAAAAAATGGAAAAGGAAAGGAATACATAATACTTTAAAGAAAAAAGGGTTTATATTAGCTGCGATGAAACTGAACTAAGTCAACTAAACTGTTCAAGCGAGTCGATTATGACTTGATTATGACTTATTTTATGTGACTGTATTTTACTTATATTATACGTGATTGTTTTTTTTTAATTTAGTGTGATTGTAAAGCACTTTCTCCTACATGTTTCTCAGTATTGACATCAAAATAACGATATCCAGGCTATTTCTTTAGAGCAGGCTCTCATTTTTTCCGCTCCGCACCCCTCCCCCCTTCTGTTTACCCCCTTCCCTCATCCCATAGAACCGCCACGCAGGCTAAGTATTCCCGAAATTAAAATACAGAATGCACATCTTCGATTACTAACGGATTGAAAGTACATCACTATTTGGACATCCGCATTGGTGTTTAAAAAGCGCCATAATAATAGATAAAGTTATCCCGACTAATTCCCCTTTAATTGGAATTTAATAGATTTTCAAATTGCATGTTATCATTTGGAAACCGATTTAAAAAAAGTTCAGATCTATTTATAAATGGAAAAAAATAGCATATTTCTTCTCCCTTCCTTTCTGCATCTTCTTTCTTCTTTTTAGTTGTTAAAATTCTAAATCTAAATCTAAATCTAAATTTAATAATCTGCAAAGTTTGCACATCTAGCAGATATATAACATAAGAAGTAAGAAAAGTAATAATAAATAAATAAATAAATAATGGGATTGGCAATACAAAATATACACTATATACAAATATAAAAATAATAGAATTAATAATACAAAATATACATGTACACTATATAAATATATAAATAACAAWAAAAATATTCTTTATAATTTGGGATTGGCTATTTTTGATTTAAATATAGCTAATGAAGTGCTATCAACAACGTCATTTGGTAGATTGTTCCATTCCTTAATAGATTTTATCATAAAACTGTTTTGTAAGGTGGTATTGTCTAGTTTTTCTTTGCTTCAGTTGAATATAGGATGGCAGCTTTAACTCCATTTGATTATTAACTATCTTAAAACATTATAACCATTCTGGCTTGCTTTCTTCTCTGTTGTAATGATGGCCATTTCAATTCTTCTAATATTCTCGAAACTGTTCCTGTAGATCTTTCATAGCAACCTTTGACAAACCTTGCAGCTCTGCGCTGTACTCCCTCGATACTATTGACATGTTATTGCTATTGACTTGGAACAATCGACTGGGATCGATTTCTCAGACGTAATCTAAATCATTGCCCCATGGAGGTAAAGGAGCGGGCTTATTTCGGTTTAATGAGACCTAAGTTAGAATACGCTCGCAGTGTATGGGATCCCCACCTCAAAAAACATGATGGTTATCCGCTCTATAAAACCATAATCGCTTCAATATTCATCTAGGAATACTCCCGCGTGAATAGCATTGTTTTCTTTAATCCTGAAGAGACAGAATTCCTCATCAAATTGAAAATTTAGACTATGCAACTCAGAATCAAACAGCCACGTTGCGGCTTCACTCAGCCTACGATCGGTTTACATCTCGCCAAGGAAAATGCACTATTTGGCTCGATACACCAACCTTGATGACCTAAACCAATGTCATAATATATGCTTCGACACAGATGAATGTCTTGGAATAACAAAAGGCCTCGAATATCAAAGAATTACTATAAAAGCTACAGCTCCCGGGCAGTTAACTGTTCTATTACACGATTGTTTACAGCCGAGTTCGTAATGTGATATTTCGTGATAGATCGGAGGGCGATCGGGAGACCCGAAGGCAAACTTCTGACTTGGAAAAAAAAAACTATACGCGTTGCATTTTATGACTCGTGACCCGGCCAAGGCCCTGGTCACGAGTAATTATGATGGATTTTTCGACATATTTCAATATCTTTTACTGAAATATACTAAAAATAAATACTCTGAACATGCCTAAGGTAAAATCTTCCATCTTAGGTGAATTAGTTTTGAGTTTCGTCGCTAATACGAAACGCGTGACAGTCTTGCGTGACAGACTTTGGGCCCTTATAACTTGAGCACAAAATAACGAAATGACTTCAAACTTTTTCATGGTAGTCATCTCAATAGTTTCTAAAACATATTTTGAAATTATTATTATAAGATGTTTATTTCTGGTTTTGGTTTTACGATGACGTCACATGAAAACGAAGAATTGGCTGTGAATAAACGGTCACGCATTCTTGCTTTCACTAGTAAAAAATATAATATTCTACGCCATGATATACATTCAAAAATAGCTAGTCCGACTTCACGCTCCAAGAGCGTCTAGTT